GAGTCTGTGGACTAGAGCTCCTTGAAATTTATAGCAAAAAAATTGGTACACGCCTATAAACTCAGCCATTCAGGAGGTCAAGACAGGAGGATCACAGTTTGAGGCCAGCTTGGGAAAAAGTGAGACCCAATGTTAACAAACAAGCCAGTAGTGGTGATGCATGTCTGTGATCCCAGGGAGGCAGCGGTAAGAGGCTCACAGTCTAAGGCCAATCCCCGGCAAAAGCATGAGACCCTATCTAAAAATAAATAACAAGGGCTGGGAACACGGCTCAAGTGGTAGAGTGCTTGCCCATCAAGCAGGAGGCCTTGAGTTCAATCCCCAGTTCCACAAAAAATTTACATAGTCATAATAAAGTGCTTGAAGAGGTTCCCATTGCCTCTTTCCGGATGGAGCATACTGAATGACTCTGTGTGGAGCTATTAACAAGAAGATCAACAGGCCACCCAACTGCCCAACAGCCACATTCTCCCCAAGGTCCTTAAAAATACACATCTGTATGGGTGGGAGACAGATGAAGGAAAATCGACTCTAAGAAACGCTCACCAGTACACTGGAGTAATGACAGTCTGGAACTCAAAGACACACAGGGTCTCAGGGTTTGCTAGTTCATAGACAGGTGACACAGCTGGGTGCTGACAATAGGTATAAACACCAAGAACAAGAGGCAACTCCAGTTTTGCTTGAACTGTTACATGACAGGTAACAATTACACCCATCATCTGACAAAGTGAGGACCCTGTGGGCTAATGCAGCAAAACACCTCAGACTCACTCAGGGACTTGCGATGGCATTTACTACCTCCTCCCCCTCAGAGATGTCTTGGGAAGACCCTGGAAAAGCTGCTTTATCACAATCTAGAATTCCCAAAGGGAATCATCCTTCAAGGCCATTTGTTCATGGGCCTCATCCTGGATACCAAGGGGTATCACAGTCCCCCAGAAGACAAAATAATGGAGGCCAAGAGAGACACAATTAAAAGAGGGAGAATGACAGTAGATACAGACTACCAAACTCTAGCTGAAGGGACCCAAGAGTAGTACCACAAGTACAGTGGGCCGATAAGAAGTGGGTGCTGGCCAGGCACAGTGGCTCCTGTCTGTAATCCTAGCTACTTGGGAGGCGCAGATTTGGGAGATCGTAGCTTGGGAAAAAATGTTTGCAAGAACCTATTCTCAACCAACAGCTGGGTGCAGTGGGCACTTATGGCCACTGAAATCATGAAAATTATTTACTATTTGCTTGCTTATTGCCTCTATGAAGAAAACAAGGCAACTGGATGCAGTGCTGTGCCCCTGTCATCCCAGCCACAAAGGAGGCTGAGATCAGGAGGGCTGTAGTTGCAGACCAGCCCAGGGGGAAAAAGAGTTGGTGAGACTCAAACTAAGTGGAAAAAAGCTGAGTGTGGTAGCACATGCCTGTCATCCCAGATACCATGGGAAACTTAAAATAGGAGGATTGCAGTCCAGGCTGGCATTGGCAAAAAGCAAGATTTTATCACCAAAATAACCAGAGCAAAAAGAGCTGGAGGCATGGCTCAAGCTATAGAGTGCCTGCTTTGTAAGTGGGAAGCCCTGAGTTAAAACCTGAGTACTGCCAAAAAAAAAAAAAAGAGCTGGAGGCTGAAAAAGAATTGCCAGATTTAGTGGGCTGCAGCAGCTTGGTCCAGCACTAGTCAAACATGCATAAAAATGATGAAAGATACATCCAGAGGCTGTCCAACTCTACAGGAAAAGCACAACCCAGCTAACACCCATCATTCCTTTGGAGCAGACAGCTGCAGAGAAGCGAGGGCACGTGTAAACCATCCAGAGAGACTTCCCTCCAAACCTACTGCCCAGTGCATGTGTTCAGAAGTCCAGCCTGAAAGCCAAGTACCAAGGTAGAATAGGTTTTGGTGGGCAGCAGGTAGATGGTAGATAGACTCTTGGCTCCTTCCTTTGGACTCATCTTGCCATCTCCAGCATCCTCAGCTCAGTTCCTAAAATAGCCATGAATTTCCTTGCTGTGTTTCAGTCTGATGACAGAGATTTGAAGAATGTTATTTTCTCTACCCAGATGTGAGATGATCCCTGTGGGCCACTTCTGCACGTGGTCACTCTGTGGAGAGGAACTGATTTTCTGGGAGCATACCATGGACAGGGCGAGGGGGGCAGCAGAGGCACAGCAATCTCTGCCTCAGCCTCCAGCAGGATTTACAAGGGACAGTCTGCTGGAGCCACACCAGAGATGCAACTCTTCTGACTCAGCAGCACAGATCTGGTTGCCAAAGGCCCAGCAACCTCTGGACCCCCACGGGCTTGGAGGGAGCACAGAAGACAGACATCCACCTCTCCAGGTATCAGACCATCTTTCTGGGAATCTCTTCTTGGAGAAGAACCTCTCCCTCTGCATGTCCACTCCCATTAACGGAAGAATAAATAAAGAAGAGCCAGTATATAAAGTGCACCTTGGTGGGTCAAACATGAGCAATTTGTCAGATCACTGGACAGGGTCTTTATAATAGTACTTTCTTGGGACTTTTAAAATAAGGCCGGAGGGATTCAGTATGAACACTTATCCTGTATTACTGAGAGGAACAAAGCAAATTTGGAGGGACTGGGTTGGGAGATGGTGAGGGGGTCATAAGACCAAGAAAAAAAAATTGGGGCATTTGTATCTCATTACAAATTAGATTAACTTTGATATCCATATTTAATTTTAACTCATCAAACTGAAAAAAAAAACAGTTGAAAGGGACTTGGAAAATCATAATTGGGTGACATTGTTAAAACTCAAATCAGAGACAACACGTTTTCTTAATTAAAAGAAACTGGTGTGTGGTATTGAGCGGGCAGGGCAGGTGTTGAATCAATCAAGTGAACTTTTAATTTGAAAAAGCAATCAAGATTTCAAGAGATGCCTCTGTGTCTAAGGGTCCCAGTACCACAGTGACCACAGCTCATGAATGAACTGAAGCGTACCATTAGGAAACTTTGCCACTGTGCCCCAGAGGAAGATGTGGGTTATTAACTATTCAGCAGTCTGCCTCTGAAGGGAGGAAAGGAAAAAAGCACTCTTCTTCTTCTTCTTTTTTTAATCCCCAACCCTGACTGTTTCTAGTGGGAAATGCAGGAACACCCATGCTGTGCAGTGCTTTCAAGAAACACCAGGACAAGAAACAAAACGTCATGTCCCACTGGGCAGTGGATCAAGTTCTACAGATAAGTTCCTGATACAAGAGACTTACTAAGTCACAACCTAAAATTTAGGAGACACTTCTTCCCAGAAAAAGGTAGGGTACTCTGGGAAGTTGCACTAACTCTTTCTGGGCACTGCAAGTGACATTTATAAACTCCATCCTGGGAACATAAACACATCTTCTCCAAGTATTTTATTTCCTTGGACCCCAGCACACACCCGGTGCACCTACTTCCTACAGTTGCAGGTAACTCATCTCCAAGGGCTATTATGAATTAGAGAACATGCATTTCACTTTATTCCAGCAAGTGTACAAGACACTCGTCATTCCTACTATAGAGGAGTAAACAGAAGCTGAAACAGATGAGTTTTGCCCAAAGTCACAGGATAGCAGTCAGGTCAGCAAGTTCTGATGACAAAGCCCACGATAAACTTCAATTTCACACTCGACTCCCATGCTACTTACACAGCCAAAGGAAACCAGAGCTTGAACATTGGCTTCACCATAACAGATGTGTAGATTTGAGGTCAATACTGCTTCAGTGCTTTGTGTCTGGTTGTCCATAGGGAATGTCTGCTCCACCCTCCTCCCTGTTTCCACCAGTGTCGTTCTGTGCCACCTCCTTCCAGGGCCTAGCATTGGAAGCACCACAGAACTGACCCTCAGTCACTTGGGGCTTTTCAGTTTCAATTTGCCTCTTCTTGGCAGAATGGAGCTGACTCAGTCCCTAGCTCCTGGGTGAGCACATAGTGCAGGCCTGGCCAATCAGAGCACTTCCTGCAGGCGCTCAGAGTGGAGCTCATGACAAAAGCTAATACAACCATAGAGAGCATCATAGCCTAGCTTTCTGCTGAAGATACCATGGAAGAGGGGCTCTCAAGCTGAGAGTGAGGTTGCCACAGGTGATGAAATCCTGGAACTGTGAATTGCCTTCCTGGACTGCATAGAGAGATAGTCTATTTGAGAATGCCACTGATCAGGAATACATAAAAAGGAAGAAGAGAGAGAAAGTCCTAGTACCATCAGAGCTCATGGATTCAGCCATGTCTACAGACAGAACCTCTGCACTTCCCAGTTAAGTGAGCTGATAAAATCCATTTTAGAAGGTTGTCTGACTTTCCATCACTTCTAGGCAAGAGCACTGATAAACACAAGTTCACATTACACAAAGAGAGTTTGTTTCTACAACTTGAACACCCCTAATCTGAAAATCCAAAGTGCTCCATAATTTGAAATCTGTTTAGCACCAACATGACATCCCAAGTGGAAAATCTCTCACATGACCTCATTCGATGGGTTACGGTCAATACACAGTGCACTGAGAATACTGTATAAAATGAACCTCAGTCTGTGTGTAAGATGCATCTGAAACATAGTTTTGTAATTAGACTTCAGTCTCATTTCCTAGATATCTCATTATTTATCTGCAAATATTTCCAAACTCTGAAGCACTCCTGGCTCAAGCAGTTTGGATAAGGAACATTCAACCTGTATGTCACAGCCTCCTCTCCCCAGGCATCCAGCAACTAGAAATACAAATCAACGTGTTTCCGTGATTCATGGAACTGAAAAGAGCTGAGAAATCTAACCAAACAGAAAGATGCCTGTCTGGATAAACAGGCAGTTAGGCTGCCTGGAGACTCAGTCTCGGGGTAACAATTTGTGGACTCCAGTCCCAGTGCCCTAGGAATCCACGCAGACAACCTGTGACCATGCTAACTAACCGTCACCCATAGGAGATCCACAGGCTACTGAGTTTGCCAGACAGAAGCAGTTCAACATGTGACACCTTCGGCATGAAGGGCTCAGTCACACTTACCTGAAGCACTGGAGACCCGTGACACATCCTGGGATTGGGTGGAGCGGTTGCGACTCTGCTGTCGGCGCCGACTGGAAGCTGACCTGGTAGTACGCACATGGACCTCACTCACTTTGAAGAAGGCTACCATGAAGGGCTGTTTGTCGTAAGGGCCATCTCTGCCCACCAGGCCTGCTGCACGGGGGTTGATGTGGAGCCCTTGAATGCAAACCAAAGCAGGCGTCTCCTTATTCCAGGGAACCTTAGTCTTGTGCCTACACACTTCAGTGATTCTTCCTATCTCCTGCAGGCTAATAAAGATGAGGGCGAGGGGAGGTCTCAGGCTTCCCCAAGTTCACTTGGCTCCAAGGACACACACATCCAACCAAGGAGTTCTGGGAACTCCAGCTCTCCTGTATTTACTTGTCTTACTCATCCACATTCACAATTTCTTTCTAACCCTATTCCTCCCAGTTCAGTGAGGTAACTGGGTGGCAGGATAAGCAACACGGAATTGAGCTTTATGATTTTGGGTGGAGAGGGTTCCACACAGGTCCCCTCGGCAAACCCAGTCGACAGGCAGGGCTCAACGGCAGCTCTTGCCTTTCTTTCTATTTGTGCAGTGCTGGGCAATGAACTCAGGGTCTCACAAATGCTGGGTAAGTGCTGTACCACTAGGCTGCACACACAGCACACCTGCCTTTTCCTCAACATCCCCCCACCTGCCATGGCCTGTAAAGCTGTCTTCCCATGGTTACTCGTGGACCCTCGGGGATAGTCCCGCCTGTCCTTAAGTCCTTGCTAGGAATCATCAGGAGAAGGTTTTGGTTGACAACACTGTCACAAGGGAACCATAAATGAGATCACCCGGAGCCGAGGACTGGACTCTGAGGCACAGCTCTACCACAACTGCTCTGAGGAAATGAATGAGAATGGCTATGGGCTCCATTCTGGCACCACAGGAATCACAACTTACCATCCCGTGTCACCACACTCAGCTGGAGCCCCATGTTGTGTTGTGGTGTCACCACCCACAGATTGCTAGTGGCTGTGATGTCAAATTCCAGCCAGCCTTCTTCAGAGGCCCACACAACTCGGGTGTCCAGCAAAAATAGGTCAGAGTCTCTGAAAGAAAAGAAAGAACAGCAGGGTGAGTGCCCAGCACTCATTCTCATGGGGTCATGTCTTGTCGTCCGGATAAATGTCAAAGTCAGATCATACCCATCTGTGTGACGTGCCATGGCTCTGTGTGGTATGACACCACATGGCACACAAGCATGATACAATTAGGAGAGACACAGACACATGACAAAGCCCTTTGGGGACATCCGCTGTCACCTGAACACAGGAAGTGCCTCTGACTTCACTAAGAGCTATTGCTCCTTACACCAAATCTTTTTTGAAATTAGAGTAAATTGCAAATAAATATTATTTCATTTGTTTCAATGTTTATTTAGTTCATCTTATCATTGCATTACTTTATTTTATGGACTTAGGATGCTATTTATTGGTTAATAGCTTACTTTTTGGCTAATCAACTTTAAAAAAGAAAAGTAAGAGGCAGGGAGTGAGGATCAGGCTTAATGCAGAATGAAGTCAGGATCCATGTAAGCACTACTTATAAAGATGTGATTTGCTTATACATTTTTAAAAAATCATGACCAGAAAGTCATTAGTGCCTGTGAAACAAGGAGAAATAAGCCATGTCACATTTCTGAGTTACGTCCATTCTTTTGTTTAATTAAGACCTCTGAATGCTTTGGGGTTACTGTTGAGTCCTTTTTCACCTGGACTGCGGAATGGGACCTATGTTCTACGGGGGTTTTAAAGGTCATCCCACTACAGTTGTGAGCTGTGACTGGGGTCCTCCAAGTTCTTTCCTTCCATTCGGCACCAAAAGTTATGTTACCTAGGCTGGCCTTGAACTCCTGGGCTCAAGTAATTTTCCTGCTTCAACTTCCTGAGTAGCAGAGACTACCGGTGTGTGTCATTGTATAGGACATATTATATTTTTCAGTTTTCAATTAACATAACTCCAGAGATCATGGTAAGATGGCATACAGGTTTCTTACTGCTCCCCCATGTGCTAGGAGAGGTCAGGACAGAGGCTAGTTGTTTTACAGGGTTTGGGGGACAATCTGAATCTGAGTTCATATTCCAGGGCCTCTGTAATGAAATGGCCTGAGATTCCAGCCACAGGGAGGGCTACACTTTGGCCATGAAAATGTTAAAATCCTCTGGTGCTTGAGGTATTTTGCTGAAATACCTTACAGTGATAGAAACTACTAGAATTAATTACCAGTTGAGTATCCCTAATCTGAAAACCCAAAGTCCAAAATGACTTTGAATCTGAAACTTTTTAAGTTCCAACATGTGATCACAGATGGCAAATTCCACACCCGACCTCATGCGATGGGGTGCAATCAAAACACAGGCACACTAAAAGTATTACATAAAAACTAGGTGTCTGCTGCATCAACACAGCTCTGTAAATACCTTCAGGCTATGTGTATAAGATATACAGAAAACAAAATAAATTTTTGTCTAGACCCCCCAACTCAAATCACTCCTGGTCTCAAGTATTTTGGATGAAAGATACTAAACCTATACTAAATGTAAGCTGAGTGTCACAATACTAATGGTGTACTTTTAAACTAATTATAAAGTTCTTTCGTGTACTTTGCTTTCCCCAGTCTTTATAATAATTGTAAATACTAGATAGAGTGTATTATCTCTACTTTACGGCTAGAGAAACTGAGACACAAGGTTATGGTCATGGTCACACAGCCAGGATCACAAGCCAGCAAATGGGAGAACTTAGTGAAAGAACAAAAGAAAGGACTTAGCTTTGATTCAGAAAGTTTTTTCATCATGACACATGGTCTTTTGAGGTTAGATTATTACCAGATGACCTGTGACAAATGAATGAAATTCACCTCCATTCCATCAAATATGTTGTGAGGCCAGTAAAACATCTTAAAAATGTGAGATTTCTTAGATGGGAAACAAACAATTTTTCTTGCTTCCATGGCTGCTTTGAGTTACAAGGGACGTCTACTGTCAGCTTTCCCAAGTCTCAACAGTAGGTAAAGCTATAAGTTTACTCAGCTGCTTAGCAGAGTCTGCAGGGGCCATGCTCAGGCCTGCTCTCTTAAAAGCTGTTCCCAGTGTGGATGTGTCACACCCCCTGTGGACAAAGTACCCCCTGTGACTGGGGCAACAACTGTGACCAGGGAGACAGAGGGTGTTCATGGAAAACAGCAAGAGGGGATTGTGAGTCCAAAGCTTTGAAGTTTGATGTAGAAAGACCTAAATTCTATTCTGGAAGGTTGTAGAAGACCCTTTCCAGAAATAACACAGACAGTATGAATAGCATTGTGGGAAAAGGAGCTCTGGTGCTGAAAGAAGCACAGTACATATTCATGTCAGATGGGTAGAGTTTGGCTGGCCCTCTCGAGCCAAGCCCAGTGAGAACTTCAGGATGGAAGGTTGCTCCTTGTGTCTGGAGCTACTGCTGAGGGTCAGTTGTTCTTTACAGAGCTTCATGACATGACAGGCACCTAGTTTTTAAGGATGAACCAAAGGATGCCAGGAAATATTGTCCAAAGTATAAGTATGACGTGGCTGGTAGGAAAAAGCTGGGATGAGCTTTCACTTTTAGAGTGAGATTTATGATAAATGAAATGGGAGCTTATCATAGGAGAAAATAGGGGATGAGACAGAAAACCATCATGCAAAAAGAGAGAAAAGGAAAGAGAAGCATGCAGGAATGAGAGAGAGAGAACATGAATTCAAAGTGGACCTTGGGGCAAAGGGGAAGAGAGTTGATGAAAAGGATTAATTATCATGAATCCACATGGTTCAAGGTGCTCAGTAGACATGAGGGACCAGGTTTCTATCCCCACTCTGCTACAGAGTTACATTGGGGCCCCCATAATTCATGGCCATTTCTGTGGCACACTTTCTAACTGTACAGCCAGTTCTCACTGCTTATGAGACCTGTTAAACAAACACAGTCTATCAGCTGAGCCTTGACAGATTAAATATTTGTGGTCCAATAGCAGTGAGGAGGTCTTGGGTTGGAGGGGAGGGGAGGAGTGGGATGCACAGACTTAACATAACTGGGCAAAGTGGGACAGAGAACAACACATATTTACAATGTGTTCCCAAGCTAGGGGTACTGGGCCAAGGCTTCCTTCACTCCTCAGACCACCTAAAAGGCAGATTATATTATTACCTCTCTTCAGAACAGAGGAAAGGGGGCCCTAGAGAGGGTCTCAAGGTCACACAGTATGTCAACTTGAAATAAGAGACAGAGACTAACCCTCTAGACAAAGGCTTTAGTAGAGAATAGCAGGGGATTGCAATCTGGGATGTGCACAGTATGCTGTGATGGACTATAGGGGCATCCCAAGAAGTTGGGGCAAAGGGAAACTTTTAGAAGAAGAAAGTCCAGCAGTTTGGAAACAGGAGATGATTGGTTGTGGGGGCTTGTTGCAGGAGTTGGCTCATTGACAGAGACAGCCACTGTCAGGCAAATGTCGTTATAAAAGAGGCTTATCTGGAATGCTGTAGTTTGAAGGAATTCCTTGCAATAATTCTTGGAACATGTGCATGACATCTCCTTTGTGGCCTACCAACTTTATTTTGCTATAGTTTGACATAAGTGACTCCATTTTTGATACTGGTAAATTTCACAGGTGTTTAGAGAGATAAGCAGAACTGAATCAGAGCCAAGGCTCTTAGCTATCATCTACATAAAAAGCAGAGTCATGTCATGTACAGACTACAGGCTAAAGGTAAGAGAAAGGGCTCAGAATAAGGAATAAGGGAAAAAAACCTACTGTGTATAAATGCCAAAGTCAGCTGGATACAGAAAATGCATTGAGAGACACAGGACAGGCAAAGAGTCAGAAATCAAGAGTAGTCCTCGCACATCAGGGTCAGGGTGGGGATGAGAGGTGCATGCAGCAAAGACAAGATAGGTTTGCTGCAATAGTCTTGTTGTAGTAAATCCCAGTGATCCTGCTATCTTGACCTACTTCTCCCAAGCAGAACATCATTCAGCATGAGAATATTAACACCTGCTAAGGTTTGAATGTGTCCCCCAAAGTTCATGTGCTAGAAACTTATTCTCAAAACAACAGTGTTGAGAGGTGGGGCCTGGAAGAGGGCTGGGTCCTTGTGAATGGATTCATGCTATTATCCCAGGAGCAGTGTCCTGATAAAAGGATGACTTCATCCCACCTTCCTTTTGCTCTGTCTTGCCTTTCCCTCTTCCATCATAGGGTAAAACAGCAGGAAGACCCTCACCAGGTGTGGACTCTCAATCTTGGATTTCCCAGCCTCAAGACTGTGAGCCAATAAATATTTGTTCTTTATAAATTACTCAGTCTCAGATATTCTGTTACAGTGCAAAAAACAGGCTAAGACACACATTTGCAGATCCAGGACAAGGAATTATGCTTTCAAGGCACAGATTTTTCCACTGGCTCACATTCAGAACATTTAGGAAATACTGTTGATAATGAAGCACAAAAAGGGCTCTGGTCTGACCCACATCTCTTTACTTTTCTTTACTGACACATGGCCTTATTAGTCTACTGACTATAAAAGTAGAGCCTCAAGTGGGACTGGGGTATGGCTTAGTGGTACAGTGCTTGCCTCACATGTGAGCGCCTGCTTACATCTGCAGAACTGGGTAGGGGTGGGGGGAGAACTATAGCATCAAATAAAATGTAAAGATGCAGCCGATTCTTCTAAATCGCATTGGGCAGAGTTGAGATATGTTCGTATCTGATATTGGTCACTGCCAAATAAAGAATTCTAGTCTGGTCCAAATCACCACAAATGGATTACATGGACCTTCCCACTGAGACAACACACTCAAGCTATGACACCATAAAAGAAAATCTTGAGACCAGAAACATGCAATTTTGAAGGCATCTATTGACCATATTGTTGTCAACTAACTCAGGTCCCATTTTGCACAATGAACAAAGTTTCCACGTCCAAAGGACAGCAATGTTACTCTTCTTAATGTTATCCCAAATCTAAGTATGATTTTCCTCATATTGTAATCATCCTGGGCAAATGGAGTTCTTCACAATTAATACATGTAGTTA